GAAGCTGATAGCGAATTCTAAACTGTGACGACAGCAGACCTAGGTCAGGAGACGGTCTTCTTCTTGTATGCCATTGATGAGGACGGTCAGAGAAGATGAACATGATTCACCGAAGGTTAAAATGAAGAGTTGTTCGTTATACGGTTCGGGGAAGAATGAAGAAGAGTCGAATGACTCTTGATTAGACCACAACGCTCTATTTATAGACAGCTATGAGCTATCAAATCTGAACAAGATTTTAGATAAGAATCCCGCCTAAATGTAATCTCTGTATCTGCATTGGAGTTGGTTGAACTTCTGACGCAAAGTTTACCTCTGCGTCCCAAATCTCAAGCACAGGATTCACTCGTGCGTTTCAACGTCACAATACAAACATTTCGATGACCGGGGTTGTCGTACAGTTTCAAATAATTAGAATGAAGCTAACAATTGTCATCAAGGTGATGAAAGCTGAAAAGAAACTAGCCTTCGACAAGAAGTTATGCAACCTCGTGGATGAGTACAGACAGGTTATAATCAATAATGTTGATACTATCGAGCTCGATCCATTACGCAACTAATCCTTCCAAATGGCTTAACATTCCAACCAAGATTAACAAGGATATTGTTGAAATCATTACCCTAGTTTAGTTGATCAAGAAAGGATTTGTCTTCTGAGGTTGCCCTCCTAGCCAAACTTGGGATAAGATCATTCTCGTACGGGCTTGTGGTTCTCTTTGTCTATGACAATGGATCTGTCTTCAACCCAAAAGTGCTCAACTCCACTGAGGATGATCTCGTTGGCAAGTTTATAACTGGTGTTTCTATGGTTGCTTCGTTGTCACTAGCTCTTTATTATCTAACTCTTGTAGTTGCGCCTTGGGTGCTCATCAATACTTACAAGAATCTTTTTACTGTTGTTGTTGACACTGAATACACCTTCATACAAGTTGAAGGAACATCTCAAGGATCCAAGAAGATTAGCTTCAAAAGTTTCCTCTTCTCTTGTATCGGCTGAGAATGTTGTTATTCCTGTTATCGAAGAAAAAGGAAAAAGTTAATCCAACTAATGGATCTAACGTTGATGACTTAGACTTTAGCTAGTTTGACTAAGTTTATTATCATCAAGATACAAAAGTTATCTTGTTTGGTTTAAGGTGATCAAGATTTCCTTGACTACTTCTACACGTTCATCGGGAGTATAAGGTTAAATGTTACCAAAATAGATTGCAAGGAATCGTCAATACAGGAAGCAGAATTGCAACGTATAGTAAATTTCGACAACCAAGTTTACAATGTCCTCAAAGCAGATGGAGTGAACGATCATTCAACAAAATTTTAGGATCCAAAGTATTCCAAAAATTTCGTCCCAGTCAACTGCGAACTTTCAAAAACTTTTAGGGGGTTCTGTAGGTTGTCTAAAAATCATAATAGATAACTAATCCCCATCAAGCTTCGATGATGGAAGTAACAATCTGACGACTTTTATATCAACATCTCGACAATGAAAGTTACAATCAGACGACTTTCACGTCAACAAATGAAAGCTACAATCCAAGGATTTTCATGTAGGTCGAGAAAGGTTACAATTCAATAACCTTCACGATGACTAACGAAAGTTCTGATTCAATAGCCTTCACAATCAACTATGAGAGTTACAATATGATGACTCTCGCATCTCAAATAGCTAAAGCAAAGATTACAGAATAATGGTCTTTGTAACGCTCTACAAAAGAGATTACAAGTCAACAATTTCTTCTAAATGCAGAGCTCACATCTGCGTTCTGTAGGCATATAAAATTGCTTATAGGTCCCTTAGCACAGTTCGGCATAAACCGACGAACCAACGAGGCGATGAGATCGACGAATCGCACGCAAGCGACAGAATGCATCCATACGCGTTCAGAATCAAGCCAAGTGTCAAAGAATCAACGAGTCATCCAACCGGGAACAGACTTGGACGAATCACGATCGAATCAAGATTAGTTTCGGACTCGAACTCAAAAGTGGATTTACTGCCAAATCAGGAATCAGACTTACTGCCAAATCAAGTCAACAAATCGAAATAGAACCGAATCACAGAAAGAACCGGAAACAACGGAAAACAACCAAACCCACCACCTAGAGGGGCTCGGCCGAAGCCGAGCCACCTTCAGGTGGCTCGGCCCAGAGCCGAGCCACCCTGAGGTGGCCGGCCCAGATCTGTGCCTAGGCACAGATCTGGGTGCCCTATAAATAGGCCAAGGGTAGTTCATTTGAAAAGGTTGGAACTTTGAGAGCCGAAACTCTGCCGAATTGAAGATCGAGCTTGGAGTTTTGAAGACATGAAGACTTGGACATTCAGATCTGAATCTCGGCGAGCATCAACGTCACAAAAGGCAGGTGTTCGAGAGAGAGGAAGAACAGATCTGAGATCTACACGTGATCATACTCCGGATCTAAGCTTAGTCTTAGATCTCGAGATTTGGACGATTGTTTCCTTGGTGAATCAATCCTCCCCGACTATTATTCCCTTCGTGGAATAATACCCGTATAATCGTGTAGATCCGACCGGATCTAGATCGCGCGGTGGTCCACGGATTAACCCCGGCGTTGGCAAAGAACCCACCAAAGCGAGCGACCGCACCAAGATGACAATTATTTCAATGAAGAAAACAGTTTTCCCCGCGAACAATCTGGCGACCACAGTGGGAGAGGCCGATCTCGCTGCCGAGATCGGAGCGTCGCGGCCGCGGATCTCGATCCCGGTCGTGGAGGAAGTCGAATACGAGTTCGACCAGCAGAAGTTCGAGGAGTACTTGTCGTCCTCGTCCGGATCAACCTCCCCCCGCAAGTCCAAGAAGTCCAAGTTTTCCTCCAGGAGAAAAACTCGTTGGTATGAAGACGTTGAAAACACCAACGAAGATCTCGCCCCGTTTGATGCCAAAGTCGCATCGGGTGAGATTCCTCCAGTTTCCAACCAGGTCAGATCTGCTCTGGCCAACCCTTCTGCCACAGAGGGCGTGGTGACTCTCTCGAAGAGAGCCCGCCAAAGGCAACGTCAACACCTTGCGAAACAATTCGCAAAGGCCATGGAGTCAGTTGACGGGATCCGCTACAACGTGGATCTAAAGAACAAGAGAGGCAAACAGCCTCAACAACAGATGAACGGCACCTCTTCCAAGCCGCCAACAATGGAATGGATCCGTGTCAAACGGAATCGTTCGACGCTGGAAGAACGCATCCGCAAACGCCGCGCACTATCAGCGCAGGCACGGGTTCAAGCCGAAGAAGCCCGTAGAAAG